ATCTGCGTTTGTATGTTTGGCTTCTATTATATGTTTGGCTACCTGTATGTTTGACTACTACTACTACTACTACTACTACTACTACTACTACTACTACTACCACTACTACTACTACTACTACTACTATTATTACTACTACTACTACTACTACTACTACTACTACTACTACTACTACTACTACTACTACTACTACTACTACTACTACTACTACTACTAATACTATTAATACTACTACTACTACTACTACTACTACTAATAATACTACTACTACTACTACTACTACTACTACTACTACTACTACTACTACTACTACTACTACTACTACTACTGCTGCTGCTGCTTCTGCTGCTACCACTACTACCACTACTCCTACTAATATTGCTGCTGCTACTACTACTACTACTACCCCCACCACCACTACTCCTACTAATATAACTACTACTACTACTACTACTACTACTACTACTACTACTACTACTACTACTACTACTACTACTACTACTACTACTACTTCTTCTTCTTATACTACTCCTAATACTACTTCTACCATAATAATGCTACTACTCTTACTGCTGCCGCTGTTACAACTACTGTTGCTACTATAACTACTACTTCTACTTCCACTATCACCACTATTACTTCTACTACTACTGTCACAACATCCACCACTATCGCCAACCACAGCCACCCCTACCGTCACTACTACTGCCAACACAACCACCGTACCGCCCTTACTGCTGCCATCACCACCTCCACTACTGCTTCTACCACCATCACCACCTCCACTACTGCCACTACCACCATCACCACCTCCACTACTGCCACTACCACCATCAACACCTCCACTACTGCCACTACCACCATCACCCCCTCCACTACTGCCACTACCACCATCACCACCTCCACTACTACCACTACCACCATCACCACCTCCACTACTGCCACTACCACCATTACCACCTCCACTACTACCACTACCACCATCACCACCTCCACCACTGCCACTACCACCATCACCACCTCCACTACTGCCACTACCACCATCACCACCTCCACTACTGCCACTACCACCATCACCACTACCACTACCACCATCACCACCTCCACTACTGCCACTACCACCATCACCACCTCCACTACTACTAATGCTACTACTGCCCCTGCTGCTACTACTACTGCTGCTGCTAATACTACTACTACACTACTACTACTACTACTACAACCATTACTATTACTACTACTACTAATAGTGCTGCTGCTACCGCCACCATACCACTTTTACTACGACGAATGCTATTACTGCTGCTGCTACTATTGCTACTACTTTTTTCTTTTTTTGGGTATCCTTTACAGGACGTTGTAGAACCAACCCTAACAGCCCCTGGCTGTGTGGTTTCTCTAGGCAATTTACATCAAGTAGTTTGCCATTGCTTTCTAGACGGTCGGCTTTCTTGATACCACTGTCAAAACCAACGCAAGGCGTATTGCCCGCAACTTATCTGGGATCGAACCTGGCATCCCGGCATTACAAAGCGAAGCGTTCGCATCGACTTAGCCACAGAGCCGACCTTGCTACTACTACTACTACTAATATTTATTCTGCTACTACTGCTACTACTACTGCTGCTACACCTTCTACTTGTTGTTCTTCTCACTTTCCTTCCACTTCTCTTTGTTTTTCTCTCCACTGTTCTGCTTTGTCTTGTAACTAATTCCACAAACTTGAGCTCCAATATTAACTACAATATTCATGAATTCAGAAACGGAACGTCTCCCGGCCCCCAGTTTAGGGCTCGACCCCCACAGCTACACACGACGAACTCCTCCAGCCTGTCTGTCTTGGTAGACAGATGTATCCGGAAGCAGAGTTTTGATTTGTTGCGTCCTCAGAAAACGAGAGGCAAACGAAGTCCTGGAAAATCTTTCTTAGCAATGTACCCAGGTGAGACGCGTGCTTATCTTTGTTAGCAATCTACCCAGGTAGGAATTGTGCTTATCTTTGTTAGCAATCTACCCAGGTAAAAATTGTACTTACCTTTTTAGCGATCTACCCAGGTAAGAATTGTACTTATCTTTCTTAGCAATCTACACAGGTAAGAATTGTGCTTACCTTTCTTAGCAATTTACACAGGTAAGAATTGTGCTTATCTTTCTTAGCAATCTACCCAGGTAAGAATTTTGCTTATCTTTCTTAGCAATCTACCCAGGTAAAAATTGTGCTTGTCTTTCTTAGCAATCTACCCAGGTAAGAATTGTGCTTATCTTTCTTAGCAATCTACCCAGGTAAGAATTGTGCTTATCTTTCTTAGCAATCTACCCAGGTAAGAATTGTGCTTATCTTTCTTAGCAATCTACCCAGGTAAGAATTGTGCTTATCTTTCTTAGCAATCTACCCAGGTAAGGCTTATTTGTATGCAGAGACTTGATTCCTCCTTGCCGCTCAAGCAGATGCACTGCGACTCTGAAGGATATCCCAGGCTAGTTAGTCGACTCTACCATCATACTTTTTATGGAGGCAGTTGGCCTATTCTTGTTCTTCCCACAATGGGTCTACAGAACCCATACGCGGAAATTAGATTTGCTTATTCTAGAAAAAAGAACCCGGTTTCCGCCACAAGAGAATACACTAGCTAGTTATTTTTAACCTGACAGGGGCCAGTAATTAAAACCATAAATGACACTCATGTAACACGGAACTGAATATATCAAGTGAAGAAATTCACCTTTTCGTCAGGCGCGAAAACAATCCTGACCAGTGTTGCCACTTTTCTTTGACAAAAACATCCAAAGCGGGGTCAAAAAATATCTAAAAACATCTATATTTGCGTGGAAAACATCTAGAAAAAACATCCAAATGGAAAGAGTCACAAATTACATAGCAATTGATATGACACCCTATAGAATCATGTTCTCATCTTTACTGAAGTCTGCCTTACAAGATCCACAGGATAAACTTAGCTTGGATGATGAAGTTAAAGCTTCAGATCCAAAATGACTCGTTAATGCTTTAGCTGTTCTAATTTCTTTTAAAACCCAATCAGGGAGCTGATAAGTGGAACAGTCTTCTCCTACTCTTTTCAGGCCAAATTTAATTGTCAAGATAGCATTTAAGAGGTCCTCCTGTTTCTTAGGTTAGATTTGATAAATTCACTCCAAATGAAAAACGTCTAGAGAAACATCTACCATCTAAACGTCAGAACGCCATCTAAATGCAAGGAAAAGCATCTAAATCCGGATGTAAAACAAGCAAAAAGCATTCCTCGCAACACTGAATTCTTGACCGACACTCATCGGCTCTGTGGCTAAGTCGATACGAACGCTTAGTAATGCCGGGGTGCCGGGTTTGATGCCAGCTGCGGGCCATGCGCCTTGCGTTGGTTTCGACAGTGGTATCAGAGGGCCGACCGTCAAGAAGCAATGGCAAACTACTGGACGTAAATTTGCCTAGAGAAACCACACAACAGCCAGGGACTGCTGGGGTTGGTTCTGCGACGTCCTGTAAAGGATACGCAACTAACCTCCCGTTACTGAGTTAACTGTAAGCGTGCTGACTGCTCCTTTTGAAAACCTGTGTTTTTCCATACACCACAAGGAAGGCAGAATGAAATCTAGACATTTGTTTACATTTAACAAAAAATATTCACAAAAACATGGCTATTGACAGGCTGCGTGCCAAATTTCAACTTCAACAACTTACACAGAGTGGTTACTGAGTTACAGATTTTTGAAGTAGCGTCTTTTTAAGAACACTTCTTTTCTGTTAGTTTGTGAGAGCATGATAAGCAGCCCACTTTCTGTGTTGGTTAAAGCGCTCCATTTAAAGGGAAACACAGAACAGGCCCATTGCAACCCCCTCCCCCAGGAACATGTCGTAAGAGCCGATAAATTAGGGTGGTTTCCTTCGAAGTCGGAGTGCATCTGCCTGAGAGGTGAGGAAACAACAGTCTGCATACAAAGACCCCCAGATGTGTAAAACGCAACCCTCAAGTTCTGGAACACAATTTAAAAGTCCAGAAGTAGATAAACAACCAGCACTTTGTGCCAGAAGTTCCTCATCATCATCATTCTCTTATGCCGTGAGAGTAGGCTGTCTTGTTTTGCCACCTCACACGATTACCAGATTCAAGGATCAGTTCAACGTTTTTGTCTAGTCCCATCCGTCTGGCCAGGCTATCCAGGTAATTATCTCTTTGCCGCCTTCTTCTAGCTCCTTTCTCATCAATCGTGACTGTTGTTACCAAGTTCTCGAGTCCACTCCTTCTCATAAGATGTCTAAAACCAGAATGCACAGCAGTTGAACGCGAAGGAAAAGAAGCAGAAGAAGCAGTTCCAACCGCACAGGGTGCAATCATCACGTAATTGCTCGTTTCTGTACTGATGAAAACATGCAATCAACACGTAATTGCTCGTTTCTGTACTGATGAAAGCGTGCAATCAACACGTAATTACTCGTTTTTGTACTGATGAAAACCACACAAATTAACTTTCTATGCAAAAAGTTAGATATTTAGCTATCGACAAAATCAACAGCTGGTACACGCATTAAATGCATACCTGAGTGCAAATACCAAGTCCGCGGTTAGAATTGCAGTTTATTGTCGATCGTATCAGCAGTCACGACACACTAGTTAACATGGTCCTTCGGCTCTGTGAAAACCGGTTACTCGCATTTTTCTGGAAATGCATTAATGCATTTCACAAGCAAAACATTTTGGACAAAAGCAAAAAGCGTTCCGCGTGAAATTTCCAGGTCGCTGTATCGCAGTTAGCCCAGTCGCTGGGCGATGGAACTATGCACGTGTCATATATGAGGAAACTGTGTCGGCAAACTGTGGTCAGAAGCAAACACTATTTATTATGTTACAGACCGGGTGTCTGAGAAAGACTGTAGAAGTGACCAGAAGAGGTAAAATCAGGAATGAGGTCATACGAGATAAAGTCGGCACAGAATCAATTCTAAATTACACAGAAAGACAGCAAATCAAATGGTTTGCCCACTTGGAGAGAATTCCTTATGATGTTATACCATATAAGGCATATACCAAAAGAGGAGAGGGACGTAGAGCAAGAGGTAGACAAAGAACCCTGTGGAATAATAACATCAGAGAAACTCTACTGTACCACAATGTGTCTTTGGTTGAAGCAGTGAGAAAAGCACGAAGCAGGACCTTCGACACCCGAAGCGATAAGAGGACGTAAAGAGGAAGAACGAACAAGCCGTCTAACCGTTGGACAGGGAATATTTCGCAGCACATTCACACAAACGCCCCCTCACCGTTTTCAACAGCAAGCCAGAGTTCCAATGCCTATGGTACCAATCTGATTGTATATCCGCCTCGCATTTCCCATGGGTTTTGACCTTCAGCCGGATCCCCTGGTCACGCCTGGCAGCACCATACTCCTTAGTCAGTGATGATTTCTGTTTGCCCCCGCAAGGCTCACTGGCTGCCAAAGGACGCTTGCAGTATCTCGCTAGACCCTAAAAGCAAAGGTAAAGTCGGGAGATGTGAACCAGCGTCATTGCACACGGTTTTAACCATAAGTGCTCTGCCACCAGTAAGGACAGCTGATAAGGAACTGTCCGCCTGTGTCACCGTCCGCACGTATCTCTGTGGCTACAGCGACGTTCCTCCATTTACCCCAGAGTGTCAACTCTGGTACCCATTTCCTAGAGTCTGGGTGAACCCCGGGAGCCGCCCGGTTTGGAACACCGACCGCGGGCTGCAGCTAGTCGTAGCTGAATTTGAAAGCGACCCCACAATATCTCGCTAGACCCTTACAACATCTTGTTATCTTCTTTTGATGTTTGACATACTGACTGGTAGACGTATCTCATAACATGTCATTGACGTGCCCAAATAAGCGAGCATTTCTCTGTTTCAATAGAATATCAGCGTTTTTTTGTGTGGACTGTGTATCAGAGACTGTCACTGGACTTTACAGTTATAGCAGACGATATTCCCAAAACCAGAGATACAGCTCCATAGTCCCCAGCGACTGACGGTTGCCAGTTTTGCATCTGTTTCAGGAACCAAGTGGTGTGGCCCTGGAAACGTGGCCAGTGGCCCAGATGACCTGGGTCCGGCTAGGAAGACCGACGCCTGCTGTAGGGACCACGACACCAAGTGTGACATCTACATCTTGTCCAAAGAGACTAAATATGGCGTCACTAACAACGAGTTCTACACGGTGTAAGATATGTCGTCCTTGCTTTATTTCGTTACTTGGATGTCGTGTGTGTAACACAGTGGAGATTCACTATTCATCCACCCAATATTCGTATTTTTTAAGATTCCTTCTGCTTTTTTTTTTTAAACTTGAAATCCCCCCCCCCCTCTTTTTTTTCCTTTCCAAGTCAATCAATATTCGTCCCCCCCCCCCTCTCAATGTGGGTTCCGGGGCCCTATTATAGGGAAAACAAGAATAGACCCACTGCCTACCCAAAAGCATGTCGTAAAAGTCGACTTATTGGGATCTTCCTTCGAAGTCGGAGTGCATCTGCCTGATAGGCAAGGAACCTACAGTCTGCACACAAATGTGTCCGATCTGTCAAACGGATGCACACGCAGTTTCTGGAACAGGACTGTAGTCCCAAAGTGGACGAACAACCATACCTTTCCACCAGAGTTTACAGCTGGTGAAATCAAAGAAGAAAGAAGAAGAATATTTGTTCCTTCTTCAATATGGCCGGCAATCATCATATGAGAAAAACGAAGCTGATAGGCTGGTTCCAAGTGCTGAATTTATGGGAAGGCTGTCCAGATTTGCAAAAATGCAGGTTTTCAATAAGAAAGAAAAGGAACAAAACAAGCAACACTGAGAAGCTTATTTGAAAAACAAAGTGCTGGTGAATCGTTTGGAAAAAAGACGCACTCAAAAACAATCAGCGAACAAAACAAGAAAGTAATATACCAACCAACAAGGTGAACCTGAAAATGCAAAATTGCAACTGGAGAAAATAGAGAGACCAAAGAGCTACTAGGTAAAGGAATGCCTAGAAAGAACTAGACAAGAAAGAGGGGGGGGGGATTTATTAGGGGAAATTATAAAAGTTAAAGTAATTACTGGTGAGAATTTCGTACAGATTGTCAAACATTGGTCCCTGTATGCCTGAAGTGCTTGCCGCAAGAAATCTTTGGGTGAAAAAGAGTGTTAGGGCTCAAACCCCTTATAAATTTCCAGGGGCTAAAAGGATGCAAGCCTTGTTTAAATGCGCAGAAATAATAATTATTATTATTGTGTGCTGACTGGTAAATAGATATCATAATATATGTGAAATAATCATTAAATTACACCACAAACTTTTCAAAAGAAGTTGGTCGTTGGCCCTCCCCTTAAATATTCTCTTAGGAAGCAATATGGTTCTCACCCCCCCCCATATACAACCGTGTGATCTTCACCCTGTAATGTTGTTTCTGCTCACA